TTGAGAGCTCGGCTGCTGACCAAAAGGTCGGCGGTTCAAATCCACCAGCCGCTCCTTGGAAACTCAATGAGGCAGTTCTACTCTGTCCTATAGGGTCTCTATGAGTCAGAACCAACTTGACAGCACCTAACAACAACAACAACAACGACAACAGTAGAATTTTACATCAATCTAAGCTGAGTTGATTTTTTCCTTAGCTTACAGATATCAGCAGCAGAAAATAAGACAGAAATGTCATTTTATTTTGTTTATCTTACTAAGAAATGGAGCCATGTTGGGGGTTGGGGGTAGGGGAGAATCTCAGTTGATACCAATCCATCTACCACTGATTATGTCCTTGAGCAGGAATTAAATTTTAAAAGTCAGAGTCCTGTACCTACTTAGGGGTGAGATAAAATGGAAACAGAGAAAGAACAACCAAACAATGCATGTTCCTACATGAACTGCATCAACTCAACCACAGAGGACTATTAGACTAAGTAAGCTTAAAGACCACCGATTTAGCACGTTTACAAGGAGCTCTAAACAGTCTATTCCTTTTAATTAAAGATTCTATTATTTTAATAACAATACTTTATACTCACACAGAGCTTTTCATCTACAGAGCTCAAAAGGATTTTACAAGTGTGGTTTCATCATTATGCCCATTTCAGAGATTGGAAAATGGAAGCACCTCGCCACTTGTACAAACAAGAAGTTCTCAGCCAATTGTTCGAAAACTATTTAGTGTGCACGTTTTTCAAAAGCCCAGAGACACAGCTGCAGCTGGTATATTCCCATAAATACCAACTGGCAGTTAAGACTTGTATGGTCAATGACTGGTGCCAGAGCCTCCTGAAATTTAGCTCTTCCTGACGATTAAGTTCAGCAAGATTTTTGTTGTTGTTTCAATTTAGCGCTACAGAGAATAATGAAGAATTTGAGCACAGAATTTTTCAAGGTTTTTTCCCAGAGTTTGTATTCATTTCAGTTTATTACTCTAAAGTCTTTTACCAGCTTCATGATCACAGAAACTATGGGGAGTTTAGTCTCTCAATGAACAGTCAGGTTGCCAGAAGCTAATCTACGTCTCTTCCTTAAGGACTTTTAAGCAACCCCAGGAGACTCCCAGGGGTCATTTTTGCAAAAGAATCCTGAGGCTACCAGAGACGAGTGGTTTGGGTGTTCAAGATCAGGTTTAAATTCTAACATAGAGGAAAAAAGCTAAAGACTGCCTCTCCAATGAAAAATCTACCCCAGGGAGGCAAGCAACTCACTCTCGGGAGAGAATAAATTGAAGGGTGTTTGCCTTGTTTTGGGACACGGGGTAGGAATCACAGAGTGGTGATTACCATGCATACTAAATAACTTTCCAGTCTGGTGCCCTGAGACTCAAAGACGAAGACCACCCAAGAGCCCCTAATTGCTAACAGAAGCAGAACCATCCAAAGTTAGGGCAGAGAGAGCTATGGTCCTGAATGACTATGTTATTGTTGTTGTTAGATGCCATCAAATCGATTCCAACTCACAGCGACCTCATGTGACAGAGTAGGGTTTTCTAGGCTGTAATCTTTATGACAGCAGATTGACAGGTCTTTCTCCTGTGGAGCTGATGGGTGGATTTGAACCAACAACCTTTGTGTTAGGAGCCAAGGGCACAACTGTTGTGCCACCAGAGCTCCTTTTTGAATGAATATAAAACCCAAAACCCA